CAACCAGCAGAGTAGCAAAGAATAACTAGACTACCTGCAAGTGTGGTCTAGAACAGACATGCGAGACACCGCACCGACACTCAGGTCGCCCAACCCGCACCATTGCCCGCCAAAATATCACCCACGACTACTGAATACGCAACAAAAGATAAGTAGTTCCTTAGTGTTTGTGTTTATTGACCAATCCCCACAAAACAATAGAAACTGGGATAGTGGCACCAGCCACCCTTGTGGCACACTGTGGGCACGAAACAACGGGCATAAAAGGGATAAGCGCAGAATCAGGAAAGACCGGAGGAATGACCTGCACTGTAATAGGCCCGGTGATGCGCGGAACCAATTACCACATAACGTGGTGGTGGGGCCCCACGATTGGTGCAAGGGCGGGTTGGACATGTACGTGAGTGGGAATGGATGGAAAGAAACAGTAGCTACCTCGCACGGGCCAATAGGCCCTCCGCAGGTCCACTGTACTTATGTCCATATGTTTGTACGCACAAGGGGACACAGGAGGTAGTGTGCTCCCAAAGGAGCCACAGACACTAAAAAACCTGATTAATGTCAGAGGGGAAAGGAAGCGAAAAGCACCAAAAAGCCATATGGAGGAGGCAGACGCCACCCACAGGAGCAAACGTGAAGACAGAGCCCAGAAGGCTCAGGAAACTGCACAATCGTCAACTGACAGGAGAAGCGGGGCCCAAGAGCCAGAGTCAACCCCAGCAAGCACAACTTGGTAAGCACCCCACCAAAAGTGAGAACCAGCCCATGGCTGACAGAAGCGCCAGACAAGACAACCTCACCTGCAGAGCAGACACACGGCCGTGCCACAACACAGGCGAGCCAAGTAACATACCAGGAGCAGCGCTAAAGGTGTGCCCGAAAGCCATGCATACTCGAGGCAGTAGGCATAGTATGTACCCTTACCTGAATAAAATGCGAGGTTGAAAGAGAAATACGGCCAGAGGTGCGCGCCCTGCAGAAGACGAAGCAGTACAGAGGGTGAGGCGGCGCCACACCAAACCATCCCACACCAAGAAGCAGAGGAAGAACAAAGTGACACCCCAGATATAAATCCAAAACACCCTCAGCATCCAGAGGGCCACGACTGGAGGGAGAAACGAGCAAGAAGCCGCAGAAAACCACGAGAAACTGCGCGAACACACGAGCATACCGCCCGTAAACAAAACGCACACCGCGGCCCCAGCACACGAGGTACGAAACGCACCACCCGTCCACCGGGAGGCGTGGGTCGTACACCAGGCGGACACACAAATCGTACACACATCGTACAAACACCAGGAAGGCGTGCGGAACGAAGACAAAGAACGCCGAAACTGGAAGTAGAGACGACGCAAAAACAAAACAAGGCGAAAACGAAGCGAAAGAAAACAGATGATGGAAGGGAACCAACAAGGCTGACAAAAGACCCGATGGAAACCACATCGAAAATCAACAGACGTTCCAATAATATTGGAAGGTATGAAGAGACTCGCGAACCAACGAGAACCATGACAAGCACCCCTGACCAATTAACATACGGACAACGATACGAAGCGGTTTAGGCACTATGTACTAGGTCAATATAGAAATCCATCAATGTTTGTTTCACACCTTGAATGGATGTACCTTACCTTAACACTTTTTTTTTTTTTTTGTGAACAGCATCGCGACATAAGAGCGAAAAGGGTAAGGAAAAGGGGGTGAAACACACCCCCAGGAACAACGGGACCGACGAACCCGAAGGAACATGGAACCCAGGGAGGGGTATACCCGAAAACAACAGGAACACAGAGGGAAGGAACAACCCCACCGAGGAACTGCCAGCCCCACACCAAAGGTACAAGGACCCAAGAGGGGCAAACGAGGCCAAGGCCCCCCAGGCAACCCCTCCCTAACCCAGGGAACCTCTACGGCATGACCCAGGGCCGAGCCGCACCCCCAAAGCCCCAGCTTAACAAGGAAAAGCCGGGGCAGCCGTGCAAACACTAATGAAGGGAGCCCACTGGTCAGACCCATACAGCATGGCTGGAGGAACCGACTCGAATGCCTCCGCCGGCACCCCAGAAGAGGAAAACCCCCGAGACCACCCGAGTCTCAAGCCAACCAGACCCCGCCCCAACCCCAAAACCCGCCTATGGTTCGGAGCAGGAAGCAAGGGAGGAAGTGAGTAGAACAGAAGGGGAGGAACAAGAAGCGGAAGGAGCCAGAGCCGAAGCGACCCCCACCCCCAAGTCCAGACCCCAACCAATAAAACGGGGCAGCCTCGGGGCAGCCTCGGGGCATCCGGGGCCGCAAACCAAGAGCGTTGCAGCAACACACCCAGCAAGCAACGCCGCAGCCGCCTGCACCCGATTATCAAGACCAGTGGCCTGGGTGAAGGAGAGCGCGGTCCAACAACAATCATTGGACGACTCTGGGTCACAAGAACAAGGACCCAACAGGCAGCATGGCAGAGGCACAACCGGTGAGTGTCACCCTGAGACAAGGGGACAGATCAACCGTCAAACTCGCAGGACGCGAGGGGGACTCCGGGGACACACCTAGAGGACCACGGAGCCCCCGTGGGGTTTCCCAGGGCCCTTAGCCTTTGGTACACGCTAAGGGAAGCCCAGGCAGAGTACCGCGAACCGGTGCCCAAATCTACCAACAAACTGCTAAAGCTGAACCCCCGGGACGTGTCCACTCACGGGGGCCAAGCGGGGAGTACCGCCAACAGAAGAATTCGAGAGAAATTCATCTAGAACAGGAAAGGGGGACCATAGTACAGGCAGACCCCCCACCAGGCAACAACAAAAACAAAAGAAAAACCCCGCAAGAGGACAACGTACCCAGGTGGAACAGAGCCGGCCACTGTTAATGGTGAAAACTAGCTGTGCAGTACCCCGCGCCCCTACCAGTGACGAAAACTACCACCTACCCAGAGATAAACCAGGGCAACAAAACCCCAGCCGACTCCAAGGGCGGCCCAGTACCGAGCAGTAAAGGACACTGCGGAGGCAGAACCCAAGGTGACTTGTGGAGGGTGGCCCCAAGGGCAGTACTTACAGGGCACCTAGGGAAGATAGCCCTAGGCACATGCGGCCCGAGTACCGTGGAATCTTACTCCTGGCTCACACCCCACCAGTAGAGACAGTCCACACCACAAGGCACAGAACTGAAACAAAAACCGGAGCCAGAGGCACTCGACCAGCCAGTAATACCATCAGCCAAGAACTGCCAGTTGGATCGCCGGCGTGGAGGGTCTGGGGCTCCCCCTTGCCCCTCTCGGGGAGGGGGGGTTGCGCAGACGGTGGTGCGGCGACGTGATGACATCATGCTAGTTTGATAATTTTGTTTGGGGAGTTTTGTCCACTCGTTCGGCTTTCGGTAGCAATAATTTCACCAGAACAGGGGTTTGTTTTGGGGGGCCTAACTTTCTGGGTGCCTGTCCCGGTCGATGGCGGACATAGAATGCTCCCAATCACAAAGGGGTTTCTATAGGCCATTGCTCCTCGTGCCTCTCTGAGGGGGCTCAGGTTCTGGCTCGTGGTCCCCGGTAGGCAAGAACTCCTAGCACTTTGATGCCAGAAAGTTATACATATCCATTCAGCCTGGATAGCTCCGGGGAGCCGACGGGGCTCCCCCCAGAAAATTAGTAAGTTTTCTTTTGCAGAGTGGTAGACCGTTGGAACAAGTTAACACTTTCGCGCTCTCGGCGCTCAAAAAAAACAATACCCCAGATGCTTTCGGCACTTCGCGCGCCTACGCGGTAAGACCGAAAAAGTGTACACTCTTTTGCCTGTCCTGACAATAATTGAAGGCGCACGTATTTAAATTTGGTATCACTGTGTTCGCAATGAAATTGTCTATCAAAGCATACCTATAAAATGCCGCCCAAGCATAAGGAGTATCAACACCAAATAAAAAACTATGCAGATCACTCGCCGAGAGCGCCAAACAGCAACAAAATGTTTCCACTTTCTTAATGGTTGCGAAGCCTACAGTTGTCCTACATCGCTAATTTTGGTATCATTGGAATCGCAATAAAATTCTCTACACGGACATATGCATATGGATGTTTAATATAGGTAATTGCCCACCCGCAAGAGTGTGTGAAGTGGAGAGTAGTTAGCCGCGAGCACACTGGCGAAAACACAGGGGGGAAATCATGCTTGGAAAGTTTATACGTTTCCTGACCCTACTTTTCTATGTACGTATTTCTTTTTTATACCAATGTGTTCGCAATAAAATTTCCTATAAGATGAACTGTATAACATTGGTACACAGCATGTGTAAGAGAAGCGCCAAATATAGAACCACGTCGCTCAGTATGCGTTCGCGGCAGAAACGAACGCATTGTTTTCGTTCGTTTGATGTTTGTCATGTTTATACTTGTTGAAACATTTTATAATTTGTATGACAGTGATCGCAGTAAAATTCCCTACACAGACATATACATAACACATACAAATATTTCCCACGTGTTGGATATATCAACGGCTAAAGGGAACCCACTGCCACACGCTCGCCACACCCCCAAACATACTTTGTGTATTTTTTTTTTTACTCATAGAAGTTTATGTGATATAATATTCATTCTGGTACCAAAAAATTCGCAAATAAATTCTCTACAAAACAAAAGTATCCCCATCCATTTCGGTTAAAAAATGGAATTTATAGAAATATTTTTTCGATTGACGAGAAAAGTAGGCAGTTATGCGGAATCGTAAGAAAAACCAGTGACGAGTTATCTCTAATATAAAGCGCGAAAGTGTTAAGTGAGAAGGTGGTGGAGGACAAAACTGTCAGTAGTTTCAAAATGTTATAGGACGAAGAGTGCTGGGAAGACGAGACACCACGAGCGTAGCTCTCATCCTGTAACTACACTTAGGTAATTACAGACACACATGTTTGTGTGTGCATGTAGGTGTTACTATTGATGAGACATAACATTATTGAGTACTTATATGCAAAAAAAACATTATGCTACTCTGCAAACATCTCATCTTAACATTATTTACCTGTGAGGTCTATTGTTTGTGTGAATATTCATATGCTCTGAGAGGGAGCACTGACTTGAGAGTCCCTTCCCACACTCACAGCAGACAAAGGGCTTGTCACCTGGAAATATCCAATTTGGATAATGAATTATTCCAACATTAAATTTTTTTCAAACATTACAACAATTAATTTCCCTCAATCCCTTTGTTTTGAAAAGGTCAGCCACATTTTGTAAAAATTTGTTTATAAACCAGAACCGATTATAATGAAACACTTTTTTCTGGACAAGTCCCGGTGGCTGACAGAAGCTATCTCGCCAAGATGGCTCCCAACTACAGTGGTACCTTGTTTACAAATTTAACCTTTGTGCTGAGCTGCTTTTATTGTGACATTCTGGTGGTGCACATAAAGTGTTTCCAAAAATTTATGTTTTCTTTATAAATTGTTAAAATCCCTTTCCTGAACATGTACATGTAAAAATAAATATTAAAAACAACTTACTTTGGCTGTGGCAACGTAGAGATGTGATGTGACATCACCGATACGTGTTCGCCCGTGCAGGAAGCTCCTGGAGGCAGTTGTGTGGGTGATTCAAGACTCGTGAGTTGCCACAAATATATTTTCATTAATTTTTCAATACATTTTCAATGCTTTTTTATTACTTTTTTATTGTATATGATACACATTTGTGTCCTTTGCAATATGTACACAGTAGAACATTCATAATGTTCCAAGGAACCGTGATACAAGTGTCACTAATATGGCCACAAAAAATCTTTGTTGCAATATTACTCGTTCAATATTAAATTTATTTAAACTATGTACACTCACACAAACACTATTTACACAGTCATGCACTGTATTACATACCCAGTTCTTCAGAAGTCTATGGTACATAGTGCGATCTTGCATTCGATGCACCAGGTACACACAGATTTCCATTTCCTATTTCTTCGTTCTGTGTGCTTGCAAACAATGCACTCACGTATACCTTTGGCTTTAGTTCCTGTGGGTGGTATGTAGTCATGCTTGTGAAGAGTAAAAAAGTCTTGAAAAAGATCTAGGAAAAGATCAATGACAAAATTCTGTCCGGGTACAAAGCAATCGCTAAATGTTTATCTGATATCTTGAGAGGTTATCTTGAGATGATTTCGGGGTTTTTAGTGTCCCCGTGGCCCGGTCCTCGACCAGGCCTCCACCCCCAGGAAGCAGCCTGTGACAGCTGACTAAAACTCAGGTACCTATTTTACTGCTAGGTAACAGGGGCATAGGGTGAAAGAAACTCTGCCCATTGTTTCTCGCCGGTGCCCGGGATCGACCCCAGGACCACAAGTCCAGCGTGCTGTCCACTCGGCTGACCGGCTCCATCGCTGAACACTTTTCGCACTTTCCAAAGTCGATAATTTCTATCAACATTTTCAGTGTTTTCAAAGTTTAGGTACTGTAGAAATATTAGGAACCTATCATATGACATGTACTTGTTGAACACTGGGATTGGAGCAGCGCAGTCTTTGTTCCAATAATCTTGTATTACGTATTTCATGGAAAGTTTCATAAGCAGACACAGAGGTAAGAACACATACAATTCAGCCACAGTGATATCCTATCATCGTGTCATACGTGAAGCAGGTAATAAGACACTTGTAATAAGTTGCAGTTGCAATGCACACCTGTTGGTTTCGTCAACAAGATGTTGCATGAATGGCTCATCAAAATTACCCATAAAATATTCACTTTCACTCATATCTTCACCTGTACGGTATATGGGAAAGTGGGTGCAACATCAGTATCATCAAATTGTGGTTTGTGTGGTACAAAATTATCACGGTCCTCTCTCGCGAATTCACCCATGCTCCTTGTACTAGCACCATCACCACTAGCATAGCAAGACCACCATGGAAGCCGTTAACACACTGTTCATCTATGCTACTTATATCAGAAGCATCATCACTGAACCCAGAAAGCGATTCATCTATAGTATCACTTTAAAAAAAAAATTGGAGATCTATCAATTGTATCCGACACTTGTATTCACCTAGTTGTGTTTGCGGGGGTTGAGCTTTGCTCTTTCGGCCCGCCATTCAACTGTTTACTAACTACTTTTTTTTTCACTCCACACATACACACACACCCCAGGAAGCAGCCTGTGACAGCTGACTAGCTCCCAGGTACCTATTTACTGCTAGGTAACAGGGGCATCCGGGGTGAAAGAAACGTTGTCCATTTGTTTCTGCCTGGTGCGGGAATCGAACCAACGCAACAGAATTACGAGTCCTGCACGCTATCCACCAGGCTACCAGGCCCCTGTGTTAGGTCTTTATTGTGCCTTGCTTCAATATCACTACCCTTATCTTCTTCAAACAATAAGGTCTGAATTTCACCATCAGAGAGCGATCTTTTAACACCACATCCCACAGGGAATTGGGAGTGGGACGTGCGTGCATCAATCATGGTTACTCGATCAGAACTGTGGCTACCCATGGCCCTGGGGCATTCTGGGAATTTAAAAAAAAATGGCTGCTGCTCACTGGAGGCCTCAGGCCTCCATCTCGTACCCAACCTACCGCGCGCGCATTTTAAATCTTACGATATATTAAAATTGGATTTCCTCGGCTTGTGCAACACCTACCTCAAGTAATGTTGGGTGGTGCAGTACAGTGGTTAATGATACAGGTCTATAATTTAGAGGGTCTTCTCTTCTACCATTTTTGTAGATTGGAACTGTGTAATTACCTAAGTGTAGTTACAGGATGAGAGCTACGCTCGTGGTGTCCCGTCTTCCCAGCACTCTTTGTCATATAACGCTTTGAAACTACTGACGGTCTTGGCCTCCACCACCTTCTCACTTAACTTGTTCCAACCGTCTACCACTCTATTTGCGAAGGTGAATTTTCTTATATTTCTTCGGCATCTGTGTTTAGCTAGTTTAAATCTATGACCTCTCGTTCTTGAAGTGCTAGGTCTCAGGAAATCTTCCCTGTCGACTTTATCAATTCCTGTTACTATTTTGTATGTAGTGATCATATCACCTCTTTTTCTTCTGTCTTCTAGTTTTGGCATGTTTAATGCTTCTAACCTCTCCTCGTAGCTCTTGCCCTTCAGTTCTGGGAGCCACTTAGTAGCATGTCTTTGCACCTTTTCCAGTTTGTTGATGTGCTTCTTAAGATATGGGCACCACACAACAGCTGCATATTCTAGCTTTGGCCTAACAAAAGTCATGAACAATTTCTTTAGTATATCGCCATCCATGTATTTAAATGCAATTCTGAAGTTAGAAAGCATAGCATAGGCTCCTTGCACAATATTCTTTATGTGGTCCTCAGGTGATAGTTTTCTATCTAGAGCCCCCCCTAGATCTCTTTCTTTATCAGAATTCTTTAAAGATTTCTCCCATAATATATAGGTTGTGTGGGGTCTATGTTCTCCTATTCCACATTCCATAACATGACATTTATTAACATTAAATTCCATTTGCCAAGTGGTGCTCCATATACTTATTTTGTCCAGGTCTTCTTGAAGGGCATGGCAATCATCTAAATTTCTTATCCTTCCTATTATCTTAGCATCATCAGCAAACATGTTCATATAATTCTGTTTACCAACTGGTAGATCATTTATGTAGACAATAAACATCACTGGTGCAAGAACTGATCCCTGTGTACTCCACTTGTGACATTTCTCCAGTCCGATACATTGCCTCTGATCACAACCCTCATTTTTCTATCAGTCAGAAAATTTTTCATCCATGTTAGAAGCGTACCTGTCACTCCTCCAATATTTTCCAGTTTCCAGAACAACCTCTTATGTGGAACTCTGTCGAAAGCCTTTTTTAGGTCCAGATAGTTGCAGTCAACCCAACCATCTCTTTCCTGTAATATCTCTGTTGCTAGATCATAGAATCTGAGTAAATTCGATACACAGGATCTTCCAGATCGAAAACCATACTGTCTGTCTGATATTATATCATTTCTCTCCAGGTGTTCTACCCATTTAGTTTTGATTAGTTTTTCCAATACTTTCACTATTACACTTGTCAATGATACAGGTCTATAATTGAGGGGGTCTTCCCTGCTTCCACTTTTGTAGATTGGAACTATGTTAGCCTTTTTCCACACATCAGCTACAACTCCTGTACACAGGTATGTGCGGCTGTTGTGGTGATGTCATGTTTGTTTCCTTGTTTTTGATTGGGGAGTTCTGTTTGTTAGTTCGGTTTTCAGTTTGCAATTTTTGACCAGCAGTAGTTTCTTTTGAAATTCCTACCTTCCTGGGTGCCTGACCTGGTAGATGGCAAACAAAGACTGCTTCCAATTACACGGGGGTGTCTTTAGGCCATTGCTCCTCGTGCTTTTCTTGAGGGGGCCAGGTTCTGGCTCTGGTCCCCGATAGGCTTAGAACTTCGATTGACTGTTACCACGGTCTAATATATACATATCAGCCCGGTATAGCTCCAGGGAGCCGAAGGGGCTCTCTATAGAAAACATATGTGCAAGTTGTAAAAGAGAATGAAACAATCATGAAAGTGTTTTTCAAAGTTAAAAACACAAATGCATAAGAAGTAGATAATAGACAAGCAATTAGGAAAAAAATGGTTTCCAACAGTAAATTAATACAAAACACTGCAGATAGAATAATGTGTATAATAATTTTTGTGTGTTTAGGAAATGATATACCATCTAGGATAGAGAAAGAGCAGCAGAAGAGGAAAAAATAGAGAAAATAATAAGTTTGGGAAAAGTACCCATGACAAAGGAAAATATCAATGATTTTAGGAGGATAGGCAAATATGAGAAAGACAAGAATCCTCCCTTAACCCTTAAAGGGTGCAATACATTTATAGCTGGAGTGAGTAACTATTGTGGGATGGTGCACCACAGCTATGAATGGTTGGGAATAATGTAATTACCTAAGTAATTACCTAAGTGTAGTTACAGGATGAGAGCTAAGCTCGTGGTGTCCCGTCTTCCCAGCACTCTTTGTCATATAACGCTTTGAAACTACTGACGGTCTTGGCCTCCACCACCTTCTCACTTAACTTGTTCCAACCGTCTACCACTCTATTTGCGAAGGTGAATTTTCTTATATTTCTTCGGCATCTGTGTTTAGCTAGTTTATATCTA